CCCCAAAACCCCAAAACCCCAACAATAATAATCTTCAGAATTTTTGTAAAATAGAAAAATAATTGGTATATATCGTTTGATAAATCTTTCGAATGATAATTTTAATATGATTATCCATTCATTTTAATAAACTTTTCTTTTTTTTCTCCAGATTCAGAAATGATATGATAAAAAAGCCACTTCTCCTTAATTATCTTCTTCATCTTATACTTTCTTAACATCCTCATTGTACCGAAAAGAAGTCATACTATCAAAACTTTATGATAAGTCAGTAGCTGAATTTTGATTTAACATTTATGTAATCTAATCTGCTTATTATTCTAATTGAACTTCCTCCTTTTTTAAATCATTAAATTTCTGTGACTATTTTTAATCAGATGTAAGCATTTATTAGTTAATTGATGTGTCCTGAAAAGGATCATATTTCTTTAAGATATCTGGAGAGCTTAAAGGGATTCTTTCCTTAATAGAATTTTCATTAATACTAAAAAAAGGTGAGCTACGATTTTTTTCTAGAATCTCTTTTGCAAGCTCAGATATTTTTTGTTTTCTTTAATTATAGCCAATATCAACTGGTGGATCAAAACTATCAGGAATATAAAATTAAGTTAATTATTAGATTTTTTTAATTTTTACAAGATTCTTCTTAATTCTCTTCTGCTTATGTATTATCTATTGCTTTTTTATAATGAATCTGATTTTCTTAAAAGCTAGAATAACTTTCCAAATAAATTCATATACCATTAAGCCAATGTTTACAATGAAGTTTATAAAAATGATTAGCATTATGAAATATCCTGCGTAATTTTTAAATTCATAATCAGAGATGTAATCAGTAAAAGCAAACAAGAAATAACTAGCGCATAAAACACAGCACTCATTAAATATTTCCAAGTTATTGATCTTATTTTCATTATAAGGTCTAAAATAAATCAGATAACTTGTAAAAGTAACAGCAGAAATAATAAAACTAAATATCTAGGTTATCTAAAAGTCGTGCATAATAACAGCGACAAAAATCAAAAGTAATCTTCTTAATGTAAAAAATACATTAAATAGCAAAATAATTGCAGAAGAAGTTTTAAGATCTGAAAATATTGAGCCATAGTGTTTTTAAATAATAACTTCATCTACTCTGTCTTAATTTTCTTTGACAAATGCGATCATAAAGCACGGAAATAGTAATACAGTTGCCATAACCAAAATAGAGAAAATAGAACTGACAATATCACCGTTTGTGAGGAATTCAAGCTGTAAGATATTAAAATTAAAAACTTTACATCCAGAATATTTATGAGTGAGCACAGTGTAAGTTCAATATAACTTTCTAACACAAACCTTATCAAAAAATTATAGAAAAAATCATCATAAACTGGTCTAATAAATTTGTATAAATTTGCGCTAAATTTAAAACCCTCAGCTAATATAGTAATACAGAGTGCAATAATTAGAATCAATAAGAAAAATACTACGATAGTATTTAAGTTAAGCATGATGCTAGAATCAGTATAGCTTAAATAGTTAAGAAAAGCTTAAATAGATAATAGGTATTGATTTAAAGATATCCATTGAAGAAAAGTTTTCGCTGATAGGAGTTGATTCTGAAAAATCAAAAAAGTAGTGTACGTACTCATCTGTAGGAATCAATGAAAAGCTTGATAATTATGCCACCATTTTAAAGAAATATAGAACATCTCCAGTTATTTTAAGGTTAAATAGAGTCATTAGCACTATAAGCTAGAATGCGTTGATCATGCCCCATAACATTTAAATTGATGAAGATAAAATGATGTTTACTGCTAAATTCCCAAACAAAAAACTAGATACTGAATTTTAAAGTAGTTTAAAACCGGCACTTATAGAATCTTTTGTGCTATCATCCATAGTGGTAAAATTTGGAGCATCATTATTTATTTTAAGTTTTGTATTTACAGTAAATCCAGTGGGAGAAGTAAAAATAGAGCTATCCACTATTCTAATATTAATTGACGTCTTAGATACGCTAGAACTCTCTACAATCTTTTAATTCAATCTCAATTTTATTTTCAGAGTTATCTTATCAAAAGATTCAAGATCCCATAATATTTCATCAATCTAATTATTATCAGGGTTTTGCAAGTTTACTTAAATAGCTCTTTAGAACACATTTCGATTGCTCATATCTATTTCAATTAGTTCACTGAATTTCATAGTAACTAGACCATTCGGTTTTATTTATTGTATCCTAAATGTGATACGCGACTTTGCGTTTGTAATAATATCTTCTTCATATTCCTTTGAAGTTCTAACCTTCAAATCAAATTAATAAACGTTGATCTTTGATATAAAAGGTGGAATTACTATATTTAGTCCCTTAACTAAATCTTATAGAGCTTTGCTATTCTCATCCTCATCATAAAGAATGATAGCGACCAAATATGTTCCCAAATCTCTTATACTAGGTTTCATCTTGAGAACAAGATTTTGTGTATCATTTGAAACAAAATTAGGTAAACCTACGTTTTAATCAGTTAAAAATTTCATTTTAATCAGGTTTCCATCTGCATCACTCTTGGTAGGAAGTTTGAAATCGAATTCATAATCTGAGAATATTACTATGTTTGGTAATTTAGAGCTAAATTTAGGAGCCTCAGTGTTAGCTTTTAAATATAATACGACTTTAAGTATGAAATCCGATGTTATATTAAGAACTGGAGATAGTATTCCAATAAACTAGAATTTATAGTCTTAAATATCGTAAACTTGTTTCGTCTATATTGTAAGATTTAACTTAGCTTTGTTATAATTCAGAAAATTAGGTAGGGCATATCCGTTTTATTAAATTAGCTTGTGATTAAAGCTTTTATATCTGCAAGTTTTTTCCACATAGTACTTGTTAAATAAGATAAATTTTTAATCACCTTTATTCGGATAAGTATACGTAGATGGCTATTTGACTTGTGGAATATATTTGCATTTAGAAGAGTCATATACTTCAAAAGTCACATAGACATAAGCCTTAATCTGGTTATTCTTATATCCTTAGGCAACAATTATAATTTTATAATCAGCTGGCTCAACTGAATCTAATGTCTTATTCCAATTGATGCCAATTGTAATAGATTTATCTTATGCATTCTATTCTGTTTTAATAAATTCAGGGAGTTTTCTATAAATTTAATAGAAGTATTTTAGTTCGTAGGAGCAGTCTTATTATGTGTATGTTTATATGAAACTACCTATATTATATTTACCTTCCTTTTTACTAGCAATATCATAATAAAATTTTCTGGATGTTCTTTAAGCATTTGATTCAGGTGCAAATATGTTCTAAGTAAAACAATCTTTGTTACTTGTATTTAGAACAACAAATGTTGTCTAGTTTATTAAGACACTAATTGAAACAAAATCTTTTTAAATTATAACCTAGCCAATTACGCTTACTTCATAAACAATATCTTAATCACAATCATTTATGTTGACAATGAATTCTCTAAAAATACAATCAAAATTATATTAATTACCTTAAATAAGTATCGAGTTATAGGCATTTATCACTTTAGAAACTTTTGCCATTTGTATCAAGTATTTTCTCCGAGATCTGCATCATTTTATTGCAAGTTGCATTCAAGAAATAAAAATGAGAATAAGGAATTCTATATTTATACTAATCATACTTTTAAGAGTTATTAAGCTTAGGAAAAATGTAGTTTGGAATATCTGGTGCAATAAGATCTGTATCCCAGCAGTCTGGATAATCTTCAATTATAACAACATTAAAAGTTTGAGACTTGACTGTTGAATTTGTTGGCATCTATATCTCTACCATGTATTAGTAAGACCCTGTCTGTAGCTTATCACTTGTCTCAATAGTTATTGTTGTTAAATTTTTATCCAATTTGATGAAGGGCTGATCAGCAGTCATTTTACCTTTATTATAAATGCGAGAGAGGTATATTTGTAGCTCATCAGTGCATGTTTACAAAATGCTATCAACTTTTAATAGTTATATAATCAGATTTATTGATATTTTATAGGTGTCAATCTAGTAAACAAAGTCTTATATTGGATAAATTTCATACTCAGCAATTGAACAATTAACAAGCCCATTAGTAGATTACTCCATACTTGCTAAATTATTTTATACTATCAACTTGAAATCATAGGGCTTGCTCCTCCTACCAAATATATCAACTGCAAAGAATTATATGTCATAATCGCCAACAGGAATATTTTGATTTACAAGAAGGCTATTAGTATTTCTACTGATGTTGAAATATTTAGTATCAGTTGAAGTTTTAAATTATATGTCAACCTAAACTAGATTTTGCATACAGCTTGTTAAATTGATACCGTGAATCGGGCTTGGAAAGTATTTAACTTAAAAAGAAGTTTTAGCATCATTTGTGTTTTTAAAATGCTCTTTGATAAATTTAACGGGGCTTGCGGTGTAAGGTGGATATAATTAATAATTTGATGCTAGTGAAGTGGTGTTTGTATAGTTGAAATATTGGCTGCATTTTGCTGATGGTTGAAATTACAGTTATTAGAGTTCTCTTACAATAAACCAAACATCGACTTAATTGATATATTATATACTAGATGGGCTAGTTGCAGTCTAATCCTTGCTTGAATCTTATAAGAATCAATTGCTTTCCATTGTGATTGTTTTCACTTTAAGTTAATCTGACTCATAATAGCAGTAATAGTAATTTGGTTTAACTAAGATGTTAAGGTAATTGATTCTACTACTATAGTAGCTTGCAGGGTGAGAGTAATAGAACTTTCCATTTTATCAATTACTGTATGATATCAAACCTAAGTAGGAATTTATGGAAAGATCTATTTTACTTTTGTAGATATAATCAAACTCATAGCTATTTGCATCCTTTTTGTTGAATTTAGCTATCCAATGAAATCTTTAGGAATTATCCTCACTCGTAAGAGACATAAAAGAAAGTTTATCATCCATTTGAAATACATTAAGACATGAAGCTTTGTTAGAAGACGTGAATACCTTGAATTGACTTAAAATTTGTTTTGTAGTTGTATCATTTTAAACAAAAAGAACTCCTATTTCAGCATTGCTGCTTATAGCTGAGTTATTATTTTAAGTGCATGCCATCAAAATATCATAGTTATTTAAGGAATATATGTGATCAATAGCTGCTATCAAATATGGGTTTTACTAATTAATTACATCTTAAGAGTATTTCTAAAAGTACTTGTTGTTTTTTAAATCCACTTTCGATATACTACAGATAACATTAGCATTCTGGTCATAAATTTAGTATGAACTAAAGAAAACCGAATCAATATCTTCATTGTAGTACAATACTTTTCATTAACCTACTTCTTCTGTGGTAATGATGTAATTATTACCAGTACTAGAAAAAACTTGCATAGAATTCTTATCAATTACTAATTTTATCATATTACATTTCCTTAAGTAAAACATTTAATCGAAAGTACGTTCTGTAAAGTAGCCAATAAGAATTCTCTCATTCAATAAACTAGCCTCCAATCCAAATAATCCTACGAAATATAATGAAGGACCATTAACATCACTTTAGTATAGTTTAAGCTATTATTAGATCTATTATTATACTAAGTTGAATACTAATAGATTAATGTTTGATATTAGAAGAATCATATCCCCGACCTTTTTGCAATAATTGATCTAAAAAGGATTATAGTAATCATTGCTAGATATTTCCTTATACCAGTTGTATTAGCCTTAGACTTTTTAGCTCATCAAAAACGAGAGTCCACTACTGTCAGGTATTCTAAGTTTGGTATATCCTCCAAAGATCAAATTGCTCCCATCATATTAAAGACAAGTTATTGTGTTATCGAGAGTGTCATTTTTAATCTCTTTTGGAGTAATATTATTTTCGCAGTAGTCAAATTGAGGTAAATCTTGGGTGGCTTTCTGAAGTTCTCTTGCTTAGGTAAGGAGGATTTGATATGCTATAATTAGAAAGATTTTAATGTTGATTCTTTGAGTTATTCAACAAATTGGGTTATCGATTTATGTTTTCGTTTAGATTTTGGATATAAAGAACATTTTGCAAAATTATTTATTAACCTATGCCAATTATTCTATAATATTAGATAGCAAAACACAAATTTAATTTTTACTTTCATTAAAATTTTCTAAATTATAATAATTATCTGTTATTTTGGAAATTCGGGGTTTTGGGGTTTTGGGG